AGAAACCCCGACTTTAGCCCCCACGGAGATTTATCTAAGATCAAGCGTCGAGCGGACGGGTCAATTACAGAAACGCCGCTAAATAAAACCCCTTTTCCTCGGGCAGCCCACACTCGACGCCTGCCCATGCGCGAACGACAGAGAGAGAGAGAGAGAGAGAGAGAGAGAGAGAGAGACGAATACCTGTCCCCGGCGCCAAGCTGAAGCCACGCCCACTTTTTGGCGCGCGGGAGGCAAGACCGCCCCTCGCTTTGACAGTTACAGGGACTATATCCCGTTTGTAAAACGGAAGCTCTCTTTGCGCGGCAACTCCGAACTTCCGCCCTCCCGTTTCCGGTGTGAAGTGAGTTTGGTCCGTGACGCGGTCGGGGGTGGTCGCGCTCTTCGCCTGGTGTGACCCTCTCGCCAGAGTCCGTTTGACTGAGGAGGTATGGCCCCGAAGCTTTCTCTCTCGCTGTGGCTCTGGAGGAGGGCGAGAATTGCATCCGCCTTTCCCCCGGGGAGGAGAGCTTGGGAAGCCATGTGGTGCCCATTTTCTTTGCCCCAAGGTGGACCTTGTTGCTTTCACTTTCCTCCTTTTAGCCCCTCTGTAGCCTGACTCTGCTTTTTGGCAGCCCTTTTTAGGAGCCGTTGGCTTCCCTTTTCCGTCCTTAGTTGTGCATGTCGGCGTAAAAAATTAGTCAATTAGCAATATTGTGAATTTTTCGGGATTTGGTATGTCTTCCATTGCCTCTGCTCCATTGGACAGGCTGGATAAATCGATCCAGGACAGGAGATTTAGTTCAAACTGAAAGTAACTCCCCTAAGCCCTAATTCAGTTTGGCTAATAGTGAAAGCTAGTAGGAGATCTAATGTTAACAGAAGGTCCAGATTAGAAAAAAGGGTTCCAAACAATTTTTGACCATTTTTTTAATAAATGGTGATTTATTAAAATAAGGTGTGTGTGTGTGTGTGTGTGTGTGTGGGGTGTAGTTTGGATGATAAAGGCAACATGAAAAATTTTGGGGGAAGTGAGTAGGTCTACAATATAAGCTGAGCATTGGGAATAGTGACATCCCACCTGAGGTTAATGACACACTTCCTCATTTTCAACAATCATAGTTTGAATTCATAGGATTTTTCAGAAGGCCTCTGTGACTGTAGGCTCACTGAAGTAAAATATAAGCCAAATGTTCCTCCTTTTTAGATGAGGAGGTAGTATGCTCTCTGCTCGATGGAGTATCTTGGGTTTGCCAGAAGGGAGCTGACATAAATAACAGTTTGTGATGTATTAGAGAATGAAGGACATACCTTCAGCATTTCACAGTGTAGAAACAATGTGGTTGGAAACATTTATTAGGAAGAAAACTAAAGAAAGTGGAGATGAAAAAAAAATTACAATAGCAATGAAATTGATAGCCCTATTTTGGACCAGCTAAATAATTGTTAATTTAGTTACAACTAATGATGGTGATCAGAATTGTTTCTTGGTATAAGAAATGCCAAATATATATCTAGAGCTATTTAATTATTAAGATTGCTATTGTTTGTTTACTCCTAAAACAGCCTCTTGCTATTCACAGTTTTAACATTTATCTTAATAAGAATAATAGATAGATAGATAGATAGAAGATAGAATTCTTTATTGGCTAAGTGTGATTGGACACACAAGGAATTTGTCTTTGGTGCATATGCTCTCTCTACATAAAAAGATAAGATACATTTGTCAAGAATCATAAGGTACAACACTTAATGATAGTCATAGGGTACAAATAAGCTATCAAATCATACTTGGAAACAATCAATATAAATTGTAAGGATACAAGCAACAAGTTACAGTCATACAGTCATAAGTGGGAGGAGATGGGTGATATCTGTTAATAACCGGGGCTCTACTGATACCTCTTCCTATCATGTATGCAAGGAATTCTAGGAAGTTATAGTTGTAGGCTAGGAGTTTCTGGAAGTTACAGGGTTGGTGAAAGCTGTACTAGGTCCTTAAATATTCCCCATATTCCCCCTCTCCCCCAGTCTGCATATCTACTGCATTGCTGGTTTTGCCAGTGTTATTCATTTATCATATTATTTTTATAAATAAGGTGGCATACATATCCAATGCATTTTCCATGCATTTCTACCTCCTATTTTCCCCCACCACAACAACTCTGTGAGGTGGGTTGGCCTTCTTTCAAGTGATAAATAGTGGCCCATAGAATATAATTGAAGCTGCTGTGACTTCAATTTGTATTAATTTTTTCTTCGTTAAATTTATTTGCCTTGTATCTTGCCATGGGGCTACTCAACAATAAAACAAAAAAATTGAAAAGAGTGTAAACAAAAATAGAAGTAAAATAATGGAACAATAAAATAAAAAGAAAATATGAGAATGCATCAATATGCTAATAAAATGTTTGATAGAGAGCAGAGAGCAAGGGGGAGGGAATGTGTTGCTGAGCACATTGTAAGCCGCCCTGAGTCTTCGGAGAAGGGCGGCATATAAATCAAATTAAAAAAAAAAAGTGTAATTATGCCACATAGCATTCAGATATCAGTAAACTAGTGTAATTGTGCTAATTTTGTAGTAAAATAAGTAGAGGGACTATGAGCTAATGGGAAAAGAAGGGGTTCCACCTATTTTTTCTGCTTTTTTGTTAACTCTTCTAAGTAGGCATTGATAAGCTTGCAAAGTTTATGTATCAAATTAATGTCATGTCATCTAAATGAGGGGTGTCAAACCCGCATCGCCATGGAGGGACTTTTTTCCCCCCTTAGTTAAACCGGGTGTGGGTGTGGCCAGTGCATGATGCACCCAGCCCATGGGCTACGAGTTTGACACCCCTGATCTAAATGATACTACACTACGTTAGTAGGTTATGTCTGTTTTTAGATACAAATAAATGAATAAAGTATGCAGTTTATTACTTATTGTTTGTTGAATAGATTCAAAGCAGAAAGGATAAGCTCACTTTCATCTGGCAGACTTGGCGCCCTCTAGATTCCATTGATTAAAGAATAACACCTGTCAGGGCCCCAGAAGTGCACCTTTCCTGTAGCAGTGCTGTCCTGTGGAATAATGGTTTGAAGGGCTCCCACCCTGTTGGTATTTCAAAAGACCATAAAGACCTGGCTGTTTGCCCAGGCCTTTGTCAAGTACAATTGTTACCCCTTCCTTTTTTTTCATTGCTAACATCTAGGTTTAGTTTCTCTGCTCTTTGGTGTTCTTTTTCTGTTTTTATACTGTTCCTTATTTTTAAATGTTTTTAACAATTTGTAAAGTGCTCAGAGTTGAGAATCGGGGCTTATAAATTTAATATATTAATATAATGTGCACAACAATGTGAAATCGAAGCTGCTAGCTATGTAGCTGGTGTTGGCCTTCATACACATCAAGTTTTTCTCCAAAACATAGGATGTAGTAATGTATTAGTGTAGTATACATGCAGATGTAAGTAGTGTGGCCTTTTGTACTTGGCAATTTTGTCAGTGCACAGATTTTATATTTTGATATTTTTAGGGATAAATGTATCATCTTCATTAGCTCAAATGAGTTCATTGCAAGAAGGATTCTTTAACTGTTTTTTAATTTCACCTGTGCAGTGCTAATAGTTATAGTTAACACCTTCAATTGCATTACATTTGCCCAGTATTTCTTTGGATATTTTAATGGTTTTTTTTAAGTGTCAATATTTGATAAGGATTGCTGTTGTCCTGTTTTGATAGTTATCCTGTTCATTATGTAATATGGCTACCCACCGCATTTCTGAGGAAATTGTTTAAATGTGTATAGTGTCTGTGCTGACATAGGATTGTGGAACTTTGACATTAAATGCAAAAGTGATACAGAAGTTGAAAGTTCCACAAAGAAGCATGGAATGGCAAATGCTTAACATAATGTGATATGACAAAGGAAGTCTAAACAATGTATGGCCCTCCAGATATGGTTGAATTCTTGCTTTTATCAACCTATTTAATATAATGGTAAGATAGTGGAAGTATCAATTCAACATCAAGAGGCCTCTGTTGCACAGCTCCTGTTTTAATAGTAGTAATGGTTAGTATTGTCATAAATAATATTAGAATATAAACATTTGATTTTTTAATGATGAATGATTCTGCCAAAATTTAAGTCTTGCTATTTATGATGAGTATTTTTTCATATTTATCAGAGGTGCAAGTATGAAATCTGGAAGGCAAACCTCATCTGCCTGCTTGATTGCATATGTTTGAACTGTCAGCCTATGCTTTGGAAGAGTTGATGGCAATAGTAGGGGTAAAACTAATCACTGACTCTCAATTTAAAAAATTCAACTCAGAAATGGCAAAATGGAAGCAATTACCAGTATGAGGGAAGACAGTTTTTGCTAATTTCCCATTAATTAAATGGCACATCAAAATAAAAACTAAAATAAAAAATATTGTAAAAGAAAAGCACAATTAGTGAACTTTCTTTTTTCAGAGATTGAAAAAAGAGAAAATGGACACTACTTTTGTGCTGCACTTCTGTGACATATACCAAAAGATAGGTAAACTCTGGTCATCTAGGTATAGCTTAATGACAATTTTCAATAACCATAGCCAGAATGAATAATAATGTCATTTAGCAATATCTGGAAGGATACAAGCTGTCCATTTTAGTAATGGTTCTGTAGATATGCTCATCTTTTAACTTTTACAGAAATGTAATTATTATTTGCTGCAATATGAATAATAAGAGAACTTGATAAGAATATATATTATTTTCAGACTGTAGAGCATTTTTTACACCTTTATCAGAGGTGCGAGTATCATATAGGAATTAAAATAATACATTTTCATATTTGCATTTTGATCAATTTGTCCTAGAAAAATTCAGTACTAAAATCATCAAGAGTTTCATGATCAGAAGTTGTTTGGGATTGATTTTCATTCTTCTGTTTTGTCAAACAGGGTGACAAATGGAAAAAGGCAATAAAGACCTTTTATATTTAAAAATAAGTCAAATTTATCCTATTTCTAATTTATTTTATTTCAATTGCCTTTAGTGACTATGCCTAATATCAAAAAGTCGGCAGGAAAAAGAGGCCCAAGAAAACGGAAACTTGCAGAAGAATTTCCTCCTGGAGAAGTTTTTACTGACCTTTTAAAGAAAAAATGGAAGCTTGGTCCCGTTATAGGCAAAGGTGGTTTTGGCTGTCTGTACCTTGGTAAGAATATTGTCAAGATTGCTAAAATATAGCGGCCAACATATAATTATTTTAGAATGTGTATTCTTAACACATATGCAGAATGGATATATTTTCCTACAGAACAAACATTTTTGTTTCAAAATATTCAACTAATAGAATTGCCTGGAGGAGAACCTCATCACTTTTTGCAACTTCTCTCTTCCTGTAATAGTAGAAAAGCAGTGACCTTAGAAAAGGGACAATAAGACTTTATTTTTTTCCCTTTAAACAATTTGTAGAAAGCTTGCTGTGTTGTTGTATAGCGCTCCTCAAGGCTCTTCAGCTCTAGCCAGCTTGCCAATCAATTGACAAGCAGTTGCTGTAGAATGCATGGTTATCATGCTGCGGAAAGGATGTCCACAGGCCAAATAGTGTTCTTGGGATTCTGCCATTCAGCTGATTAGCAGATTGATGAGGGGACTGCGGGGTTGGTGACAGCATCTGGTGAACTGAATAGAAAGTGGTTGGGTGTGTGTGCCGATTCTATTGCTTATTCTGACTTTCTTCATTGCCTTCATGCTCCCCTTACTATAAGGGCTGGGCCTTTGTCACAATACTTTTTGTTGGTATTTTATCCAGTGATGCTGCCAGTAGAATGGATTCTTCTAACAGAATGGGTTCCCCCTCTTCCTCTATCTTCCCTAGTCTGTTCCAGCAGATAATATAAGAACATGAAATCTTTTTGGAGGGCAAGGTGGCTCTGGACTCAGTGCTAATTAAAATATTTGTTATGGATGTTACTATCATGTTCCTAATAAGGACTTGGTGTTCATAATCTTGTTTTTTAGGAAAGGCTTTATTGCTTCAATTCACCCACCAAAATCACTGAATGTTTCACTAATGGGACATTTAAATTGACTTATTTACATCTGGCAGCACCAGCTGGTTGCTCTTAAAGCAGAATAGTATGTTTGATTGACTGTGGTTAGGTTTGGCAAATTCATACCGTTTTTAAAAATGGAATGTAGCATTCATTGTTTACATCAAAATTGAAATATTATATGTAAAATGTATCAAATTGTATTATTGTATGAGTGTTTGTGATATGGAGGTAGATTTGTGCAAAGAATGCATAAGGCTCCACCATACAATATTATTAAATATATTCATGAATTTGTATTTGGTTTTCATCCAGTTACTCTCTTGGTTAGGTAAAAATTGCTGCTGAGATATTATAAGATACTTTTAAATCCTGTTGATAAAAACTACTTATATTTTAACAGCTGATGTTAATTCATCTGAATCAGTTACCAGTGATGCACCCTATGTTATAAAAGTGGTAAGTTTGTTTAATTATTCACTCATTCATTTTTGGTGTGCCTGACTCCAGATTGACTCTGGAAATAATTTCTTTCTTTTGAAATAGTTGCATTTGCATTTTCAATGCATTTGAAAAATAAAATGGAAAAGACAAACTTTTCCACTTGTAGGTTTGTGAAATTTTTGAAAATCCTCATGCAACTAGTGTTATATGAATTGTTTAAGTAGATTAAATTAAACTAGTATATATTTTAAGCTTTACTAATATATTTTAATAAAAATAGCAAATGCTATTGTCATCTTGCTCAAATAATCTCTAATTTTATTATATTCCTTAGATTGAGTGTTGAATAGTGGAATGACATGCGTGCTTTACACTGGTTTCCTTTGAGGTGTTATGAAATTGCATAGGAAATAAAATTTCTGTAAAGTTGGGACAAACAATCTGGAATCTGACCTGTAGTTTATAGATTGCCCTAGAGCAGGGGTGGGCAATTGTGGCTCTTTTACAACCTGTGGACTTCAACTTCCAGAATTCCTGAGACAGCCAAGCTGTCTCAGGAATTCTGGGAGTTGAAGTCCACAGGTTGTAAAAGAGCCACAATTGCCCACCCCTGCTCTAGGGCAATCACTGTATATTTTATTTTATAACTAATTGCAATTATGAGCTATTTTACTTTAGAGATATGTGGTAAACGAAAAGAATTTATCATTGTATCCTCATGAATTTTGTGTTTGGAAAATTAAGAGTTCTTGAGGGTAAACATAGACATATAAGGCACGGTGTGCTATGAAGTCTAAGAACTGTTAAGGCTCATTCTGATCATGAGTTCATTAATAGCAGGAATTGGGATCATGCAATCATTTCCATATAGCTAGTAATAGTGCATGCAGCATGTCTCAAAAAAGTTGGGGCATCTCCTGTGTCTGTTTTCCTCTCATCTGCCTTTCATTACCCCATTTATATTCCCATTAACCAATATGGGTGAATGGATAGATAGGACCATGATTTCCTGGTCCTTCAGTTTAGACATTCTGAATACTGTGATGATATCAGAGAAGACTACCGATTAAAAAAGCCAAATTATAGAATGCATTTTAATGTTGCTGCAAATATTATTGCTTGATAGCAGCACCAGGTGGACTTGCCTTTTTCTTGCTACTTTTTATCTGCTGTATGGCATTATAGATGCTATTAATCAATTACAATTATGATGTAAAATAATGTATATGTCACATTTTTCACTATTAAATATATTGAAAAGTATTAATGCATAGTGATTCATATTGGTGATGTACATGAGGTGATCTGCATGAGTAGAAGAGGTGACTGATAAATATTTATATGAATCTGTGCTTTGTGATATAATTTAGAATTTAAATGTAAGGTGATAAATTATATTTATGCATGAATAGATAGCTTGAAAAAAATATCCCTTGGAGATGGTGACATTTGACACTAGCTATAGATTTATAGGATAGAGTTAACTACAGTGTATGTAGACATTTAAGTCTATTATGCATTATGATTACAGTCACTTAATCTGGGAAGGTCATCTGGGAAAGGACTATCACAAATAACACACTGACTGTCCATGACCAAAACTCTTTTTACAGTTCTATAAAACAAAAATAAAACTAATGATTTAGTCTTGTTATAATCATATTTTGATATAGTTAAAAAATGACACCAATTGAAAAATGAGAAGATCAGAAAAAAATTGCATAAGCCATGTAAACCAATTCAATTCTCTGGTAGATTGCTTGATGCATAAATTTGTTGCCATTAATGGTAAGGACATAATGTATAAGAACCCATGTTCATACCCTATTTGGGAAGTACTCTTCGTGAGATCCTGGAAAGGTGTTGATAGGCAGAATAGAATGCACAGTACTAGATAGGCTACTAGCTTGACCTGGTATGAGACAACTAGGTTAATATATGTCTTATTTTGGATACTGAAAATGAGAGTGTTTGGTGAAGTATATTGACAGGAACAAAGCAGTAAGGTTGCCTCATGCTCCATAAAGTTTTTTTATGGCTACTTCAAAGTCTTTCTCAAGTTGTCTCTCCATATATGTGCCTAAACCAGGGGTGAAATGCTCCTGGTTCGGACTGGAACGCCTGATCCGGAAGCGATGGCAGCTGATAGCAAAAATCCCTGCCCTCCCCATGCCCAGCTGAGCTGCGCAATCATCAGAGCCTTTTTTTTTACTTTTAAAGGCATTTTTTCTTTGGCTGAAAAATGCTTTTAAAAGTAAAAAAAAAAGCCTCTGATGATTGCGCGGCTCAGCTGGGATCGTCAGAGCTTTTTAAAAGCATTTTTTTCTACAATCTCTTCGGCCAAAGATTTTGTAGAAAAAATGCTTTTAAAAGTAAAAAAAAAAAAGTTGGCCACACCCACCCAGTCACATTACGCCCCCCAAGCCACACCCACAGAACCGGTAGTAACAAATTTTACATTTCACCACTAGCCTAGCCAGCTGCTTTGTTTAATTCACTGTACCTGTAGAAGGATGCATACAACCCTGGAATGTTCATAGAGCAATTGTGGTAAGCATTCTGGAGGATGTAGATGCCTCCATATTAGATGGGTTGCTTTGCTTGGGTCCTTTAAATACTTAACTTAGCTATACTGTATATTAGGTTTTTAGATCCCATATTGAGGTAAACATTTTTATTGTGATATATGAAAATGCTTTATTTTTAAATTATTTATCTCATTCCCAGTTATATAACAATTACCAAGGAACTGAATTACAAGGAAGAAAAATTAAATGGTTAAATGGCTCTATTTTATAGGAAAATAGAAGAATGTTTTATATATTAGTAAAACCTTTGGTTGAAAAAAGAATAAATCAAATTTAAAACATTGCATTTATTTATAAAATATTTAAAGGAACCCAGTGACAATGGACCACTCTTTACTGAGTTAAGTTTCTACATGCGAGCTGCTAAACCAGAACTAAGTAAGTAAATCAACCCATGTTTATTCAATAAAACAATGTAATCATCCTTAAATATAAGAAAACTATGGGAAATATAGAGTTATTGTAATTCATATAGGATTCTAAATGGTTATTTTAACCATAACCATATAACAATACAGTATTGAGTATTTATTGGAAATAATTTTTATAAAGTGGATCTAAAACTTGTCCTTTTTTAATACTATGAGTCTAAAACTCATAGTATTGAAAAGGGGGGAAGGAATAATAAACAACTATTTAAATGATATGCTAAACATGCTAGCATGTTTGTTAGTTTTTTGCTCATGTGGGGTGCCTTTGTTATATTTAATTTGCTAAAACTATAGAATCAAGGATAAAATGTATAAACATTAAAAAAAATGCAATCCATCTACAGTTTAGATTCTAAACTTTTCAGTGCCATTAATTTCAGTGAAGGAGAGGTTCCCTGTTTAAAAAAAACATCCTTTTCTGTTCGTATTAAGATTTAATAGTAATAATAGTTTTCAACCTTATGTGGTAATATATAATATACATAATGTATATTGAATATTTGTTTCTTTTCAGTTAAAAAATGGATTTCTTCTCACAAACTGAAATATTTAGGTGTACCAAAATATTGGGGTTCTGGTTTGCATCAAAAGAATGGCAAAAGGTATAAACCATTTCTTACTTTAGAATATAAAAGACTTTATAATGTAACTTCCCTTAATTTCAATTTTCCAAACTCTACAATATTTCTTAAAATGAGTCATAACAATAATGTCGAGTGAGGGTCTTTGTCATTTAAGTTTATCATATCAATATATCAAGGAATTGGTACAGTTTTATGTATTTTATTAGATAACTTGGAAGTTTGCATTGTGGTCAGTATTAAGTGAATCTTAAGGCAATTTTATGATATTCTATTAAATTTAATACATGTGCTTGGTAGTTCTCAGGAAATATAAGGTGTTTAAACTTTCCAGGTTAGCTTTATTCCATCAGAATAAAACTAAATATGTTTAAAGAATTCAGGCTAAGTAGTAGGATTTAAACATCAGCTATTATTCTCTTGCTCCCAAGGTCAGAACAGAGTAAATAGGGAATAGTTCATTTTGAATATTACCTAGCAACTAAATTACAAAAATATCTGTCCAAAGAGATAATTGAAAATACCTTGCTAGATATGTAAAATAACAACAACAACAAAAAAGTAACAAAAATCGGCTATCATTAAAATTAAACCATTAAGAAAATATCAAACAAGAGATGTACTAATTGAATGGGATGTTAATGAGATTAACTCTTCTCTTTGGTTTGTAGTTTAGTGACAGGCATTAAGGATTTGTTTAAAGAAACTGAAAAGACCTTTTTCTTCTCTATTGGAATTTTTTTATAAGTTATTTAATGAGTGAAAACAGAACTGTGTTTTTATTATTTCCTAAGGGGGGTATTTAAATGAGATCATGCTTCAGGTGCCACAGAAGTATGGCACAGAAGTTTGGTTAATTAGAATACCACAGATTCTTCATCTCCTTCAGTCAGGAGACACACCTGAACTCTGTTATACTTCAGAAATTTGCCTTTAGTATCAGTTGAACTACTATCCTGTTCTGATTTCATTTGTTCCTGCATACTTTCCTGAAATTGTAGAAAATTTGGAATGGGGTTGTTTAGTAAGTTTTAGCAGTTTTTAAAGTTTTTTTTTTTAATGCCACTGCATTGCTTGGGAGTAGCACCTAGAACCTTTGTCATCATAAAAGCTAATAATGGTCAGTCCTGCTTAGTATGCAGATGGGAGACCATTAAGAAATACCAGGTCTGAAAATAGACAGGGAAGTCAAAAAAGACCTGGAAGAGGTTGATGGCACACAATTGTTAATTGGTGCTAAGAAAATTCCATGTCTGTACAATCCTCAAGATTGAATGTTATTTTTTGTACTTTGTTTTCAATTTCCTTAAATGCATTTTTTTTAAATCAGTTATAGATTTATGGTGATGGACAGATTTGGGAAAGATCTTCAGAAGATATTTGAAGAACAAGGAAAGCAGTTTTCACGCAAAACAGTGTTACAGTTGGGATTGAGAATAGTAAGTTAAATGTTTTTCTGTGTTAATGTTAATGTAAGTAGAGACCTCATTGAAATTAATTTTATTGAAGTTTTTTTTCTGACATTCTGTTCTTTTTTAGCTTAATGTTTTGGAATATATTCATGAACATGAATATGTACATGGAGACATCAAGGCCTCAAATCTTCTCCTGGGCCACGAGATTCCAAATCAGGTAAGTTTCAATCTTTTCTTCCTTCAGTGTTTAACCTATTGTTTTAAAGAAAATGGAACTGCTGTGAACCTCAGCAGAAATCTTGCCTTTATGAATGTGTACAGCGTTAATATTTCTGCTTGACATTTATATCTAGTTAATGTTGTACATTTTTTATTCACTTTGCTGGCAGTTGATCAAATTGGCTATTCTGCCCTGAATAATATTCAAGAGAATGCTTGCAATACAAAATGAATTTCAAATAGCTGTTTGGGGGTGGAAGTTTAAAATTATATACTACACCAGTGAATTACGTTTGCTTGTCTGCTTTGTCAATTTTTTATTTCCTTTGTTTGAAGAATCCATCAAGCATAAGTGTTCTGTTACTTGAAAACCTGATTTCTTAACATATTAGTTCAAATCAAATGGTTTACAGAAATATCTTTAGCTGTCTGTTTATTATTATCATTTAGTTATAGTAGTCATTAGTACTTTTCTTGAGATGACAATTTCATATTCCCATGTAAATTGATAGAAACATTGTGAGGGTTATTTTGTCTCTTCCTTTGGCAAGAGGTCCAAGAGTTACTAGATGGTTGCATTGCTTTTATTAAAGCAGCGATGGCAGTAAAAGATCAGCTCCTAGTTTCATCTGGATAAAATAGTTCATTTGTTCACCACATTGTTTCAGGTATTATGAGATTGATTGATCACCCCATCACTTTAGATTTCTTTTTGTTGTTTGTAAACCTGAGATCAAAGTTTTTGTCTTACATTCACAGTTTTTATCACCATTGTATGAATTGTTGATAAAGAATACTATTTTGGAAGATGAGAATTATCTAAAAATGAAAATAATTTCATAAATCAAAGGGAAATGATTGATTGGGTTGTATAGTAGAATTTCTATAATAAATATATATCTATATTACATACTCTAAAGACAAAATTTTAGTTGTTTATATTGACACTGTTTGCATTTCAATCAAGAAATAAATTCGTAGCACAGAAGCTCACTCTTCAAAGACACTTTTCCCATCGAAATGACAGATCCTTTTAGTTACAGTTTAACAGAGTTGTAGGTCATCTAGTCCAACCCCCCACCCAAGCAGGAGACCCTACACCATTTCTGACAAATGGCAGTCCAATCTCTTCTTGAAAGCCTCCAGTAATGAAGCTCCCACAACTTTCTTAGCTTGATTCAGAATTACAGTACAGTTGACAATGCAAATATTCTTAGGATTATTGATTTATTTCTTATATAATACATTTCTGGGATGGATTCATCTGACTTTTTTTACATTTTTCTAATGAAGGTAAAATGGAAGCTGGCATAGTGCAAAGCAGAGACATTGCTACTAAGTCTTACAGTTATTCCCAAATTTAATGTTTTGTTTAAAAATTTGCCAATAGGTTCAGAACAGGCACATTAGAATTCTGGGGGAAATGGCTTCCTGGTTAATGGGTATTTTGTAGCTGACTAATCTTATGTTGATGAAAAGATGACCCCTTCTTACATGGTAACTCTTGTGAGAACTCATGACATGCTCATCAAGCCAGAAATTTTAGCAGCCCCAGTCTAAGATTTTTCTGTAAGCACAGATTTTTTACAACCTATAGTAATTTTCACTTACCCAGATTTGGAGCCAGGAAATGAATTTACGTACTTATTTGATTTAGAAGCCACCAAATTCCAAAATGATTCTGGAAGGCTTATACTTTAAAAACAGAAAATGTTAAAGAAAACCCCCCATGATCTGGATAACCATGATACCCCATATATCAAAAAGCCATAACCAACAGGGTCCACAAGTACTCTAGCCCATAGCATGGGAGAAAGGCCATTTTTAAAAAGCCTTTCACAAGTTCATCGGAGTGGGAGCTACACAAATCTCTCAGAGGCCAGGGGCTGCAACAGAGAAGCCCTGGGTCCTGATAGATGCAGTTGTTTGGGGGAGGGAGCACCAATTTTGTCTGATATTACTGGAAGGCAGAAACCATGGGAGAAAGGTGATCCCTTCAATAACCTGACCCAATGCCATAAAAGGCTTTGTATAGCCCAGCAGATTGAATTGGAAAGAAAGAGGATAAGACTGGTGCTGACTTGTTTCTGTAACAGTTTGTGAGATGTAAATGAAATTGAGACTGGTGGTAAAAGCAGCATGAGACTTCAGGTGGGAATTGAAAGCATCCACTGGTATAGTGAGCCTTTGTTATTAAAAATAATTCTGAATTAGGTTTGTGCTGGTAATACGATATTTAGAATCACCATCTACACCCCTGAGACAATTTGTTCTACATCAGTTCAATCAGGAGCTGGTTAATTATTAAGGCAGGGTGCAGATAATATTTTGCTATTTGATGCTATTTTAACATCAATATTAGATTAATGTTATTGGATTGTAGGTAGGCTTACTTTAACTTGCTTGGGCGTCCTGTTAAATTTAATAATATAATGTTTTATTTTTATTGAAGTACATAGTATAGATAATTATGCTTTTAATCTTAGGAAGAATCTTGGTACAAAAAGAGAATACATACTTATATTTTGAATGACATTTCCCGACGTTAATGATATAATGAGAACGTGGTGTCAGTATTATATAAATAAAGTACAACTTCTGGTTGGCTGTTTTTAATTCTTGGATTGATTTTGTTGTACTTGAAACCTGCACAGGTGTACTTGGTAGATTATGGCCTTGCTTTTCGATACTCTCCAGAAGGCAATCACAAGGATTACAAAGAAAACCCCAAACGATGTCATGATGGAACTCTTGAATTTACTAGTATTGATGCACACAAGGGAGCGTGTAAGATGGTTTTTGTTTTTATGCATATTCATTCTTCTTACAAATAAAAGGTAACAGAGTTGTTTAGCATGTTGGTATGTCCTCTTTTACCGAGCATTCATTCAGCAACAGTTTGAAGTTGCAACAGTGCTGAGCAAGTGCTAGTTGCAACTGGGCCTCAAAGTTTGGGCCATTGCAGTACCCCCACAAATTCAGGCTCTTGGCAACAGCTTGCATTTATGACAATTGCAGTGGACAGTTGCACTTTTTAATGCTCTGATGCACCCTCCACCCCTTGACCTATTGCTATTGCTATCCATATATTCATAACATTGAGAGGCTGGGCCAGCCCAGCAATAGCATCATCTGCCTGGCCCACGGTGGGGATGTGTGACTGGGTTTCATCAAGATATTGATGACACCACATTAAATGCCACTGAATGACCATACCAGCAGTTTCATAAAAGAGAAGTTATAATGTAACTATAATGGTTCCATCACTTCTCACTCAAGCGTGGCCCATGATTTTTTAGGAATATACCCCAGCCTGAACCCAGATTGAAAAGGCCTAGTTAATCCAGGTTTTTCTGTGGCTGAGCACAAGCCATCCTCTCAACAATGTTCTATAAAGAGGGAAAGTTGGAGGCTGTATAAAAGTTGGTCAACATTGTTGGGTACCATCATAGTTTCTTAAGATAGCTTCTGATTCATGATACAGGATGGCCTTTCAAGAATATGTTTGATTCATGAGACAGGATGAGATCTGTGTCAGAAGAAAAATGTTGGCCAAAAACAGTTATTCTCTTACGTAATTTGGATAGCTATTTCGGTCAAAGCCCCAGTCGTGTCTCATTCCATTAAAATTTTCCCTTTTTATATACTGTACTACTTTTCCTGTGGTCTTAAATTTGTCACAGCAATCTGAAACTCTCCAACCAATAACTCCTTTCCGGTGTAACTGAAATTATAATCCATAGTGAGTGTTCTGCCTTTATAGGTTGTAACTAATATTGTAATGCAATAAACCTGACATCTTTTCCTAAAGGAGAACTTCTTAATCATCTTTAAAAGACATAGGGGTATTAAGTTAATTATTCCTTTTGTTCTTTAATGATACTTTTTATAACTATTTTCATCTTCACTATGAATTTAGCACTTTTTTCTTTTTTAGCTCCCTCAAGACGTGGTGACTTGGAAATTTTGGGTTATTGTATGATCTGCTGGCTTAGTGGTAGTCTGCCTTGGGAAGATAACCTGAAAAATCCAGATTATGTCAAAGAGTCAAAAATTAGGTAATTTTAATGTATTTAACAATAAAACTATTCGATGTATTCAAACTGCTTGGTATAGATGTGCTTAGTTGAAACTAAATATCATATTTTCATCTTAAAAATCCAGGTGAGACATACTTGACAAGTTTAATTGAAATTGAATTATTGGTGGAAATTGGATGACGTTCTTATTTCAGCTATGCAGTTAGATACTGCAGTGTTATATTGCAACTCCAACACTGATTGATGGATTTATATACCACCTTTCTGAAACTCAAGGTGGTGTACATAGCGCTCCCTTTCCTTGTCCCCATAACGAACAACTTAGTGATATTAGTTGACCTGAGAAAGGAGCAGTTGACCCAAAATCAGCCAGAGAGCCTTTGGTTTAGGGTTGAGGGTAGAGTTGAATCTTACAGGAAGGGATGAAAATGCATAATGTGAAAGAAAAATAAGAGGTAAACAAGCAAAGTACATGTTGAACTAGTACAACAGAATTTTTTCATAAATAATACCACTTTTGATGTTGAAATTTAGGGATTTTATTATAGATACACACCTGCACACTTTGATTTTCGTACTGTTTTATCTGCAGTCTGAGATAAAGCCAGAAACAATGAAACTAGAAATCCTGTAAAGTGTTAATGCTAAATGTTGTTATGTTATTCTTAAGTGGTGCATGCTTTTTGTTGTCCTCCCTTCCCAAAGCTTATTTAACATCAGCTTGCAACAGAATTCTAATATGAACAGAACTATAAATGTTGATTCACTAAATGCTATTTTTACTAACTGCTGAATCCACATGGGCCGTAAATAAAGACTATAGTATTCCTTTGACAGTTGAAAACATGAGAAGTGAACATGGTCCTTGAAATGGGACAGCTGGCCATGGCCAACACACTGCAGGACAATTTAACAATTCAATTTAATTATTTAAAATAAATAAACAATTGTTTTAATTTTTATCATTCATTCACATTTCATTTTGTCCTCATTTTGCATCCTTTCGCTACAGTTGTCCTGTGGCGAGATGACCGTGGTGAATTGTCATAGACCCCATGGTCCTAGCTTACTTATCCTGTTGTGACATCTTTCACATATAACATCGATAAAACCAGATGCTAATGTCATTTTAGTTTGGCAATCATTGTGGTTCTATTTTATTAAAAATAAGATGTCATGTTACAGATCCCCACTTCTCTTAACGTTCTCATCAGAAACGTAATACAACAGGATTTCTATGCTAGGATTTTAATTGTCAGAATGTTTTCAGTCCTTACCCATAACAGCATGATTGTAACATATATTATTCAATAATGGAGTGTAATTTTAAAAAACTAGGATAGCTTTATTACTCTTCATTATTGCTACCAGTATACAGTATGTGTGTATTGCATGTACTGCATATATGTATTGTATATTTGAAAGGAAAGAAAATCTAACAGATCAAAATTTAACTTCTGATCTGTTAAACACAATTTGGCATCTTGTTTTTTCTCCCAGGTATACCGATAACGTTTCTGAATTCATGTTGAAATGTTTCACTAAAGAAAATAAGCCAGGTAAGTAAGAGCCTGCTTAAATTATTTCATCCAACAAATGTATTTGTTTCATGTGAGAAAAGAAAAAAGATACAGAGGAATTCATTGAAACAAAATATACCAGTGTCTCTTTTTTGGGGTGTACGTGAATAAGTTGTCCAAAAAAGTCCTGACATGCAGTTTACAAGCAGAATAAAAAGAACCTTGTCTAATATTTATGTATGATACAAGGGCAGCCTGAAAACAGACTTTTTTAACCTCCCTCATCCTATACCATATTTTTCAGAGTCTAAAACACACCGGAGTATAGGACGCACCTGGATTTCAAAGAGGAAAACAAGAAAAAAAAGTTTTTGGCCTCCGTTCGTCCCGTTTTTGCCCTCCAGCCCGCAGGAGCACTCTGCAGGCCTCCCAAACCCTCTGCACATCCTGTTTTTGCGAAAAAGAGACATGTTTTTCGGGTCTGGCAAACAGCAAAAATGGGACGCCGGGGTGGGTGGGTCAGGAGGCCAAAAACAGGGCGGTATTCAGTCTATAAGACGCACCGACATTTCCACCTACTTTTTTTGGGGGGGGGGAGTATGTCTTATAGCCCGAAAAATATGGTACTTTGAGGTTTCAGAGAAAGTTGAAAGAAAAAGCAACCCATTTTGCGAACAATATCTGTTTCACCAGCACTCTGATGCTGTTGTGGTCTGTGTGTTTGCAGGTTTTCTTACAGCACAGAAAAGGGTTATAAATGAAACGATATCTCATGAAATTGAGTAAAGATAGTTTGTTTGCTAGGAAATCTTTTTCTTTTCAGAAAATATCAGTCAAAAAAATCTGACTAATGTTGTTACAAATTTCCCTGTTTAAATCTATTTGCTGATCTTATTTATTTTTAAAAACACAGCACCATTAAACATAATTCTGTTTTAAGGTTTACTGTTTATTTATTTACAATGATTACATTTTCAAATGTTGTCAAAAGATAAAGGAAGAAATTATTAAAAGAAGGATCTGTTTATCTGTACTGTTACATCCAGATTTTCCAACATATTTGTGCCTGCAAACAAAGTTCATGTTATGTGTACTATGAAATTTGATATTTCCGTGAAACTTCAATATTCCTGAATAAAATGAATCTAGGAAGATTAAATGACTGCCTCAGGTCTCTTTAGAGCCTGACAAATATGGAAGAAGATGCCCTTCTTCATTTGACAAATCTATCCCCTCCAGAGTTTCTTTTGAAGATGTGAAATATATCAGGAAAGTTCTCCTTTTCTTCTGTGATAAGTATATGGATCTGGCTATTATATTGATTATCCCAGCAAAATTTTATGTGTTTTATAGAGTGTCTCCAGAAGCAAAATAGATTCTGTGAGCAGAGAAGAAGAAAATATTTTTCTTCCCATATTGGATAATAGCTGTAACTGTAGTAATATCTGAATTTTATACCGTATCACTATATTGCTACATGAAAATGTAATTGACATATTGGGACTTTCCATTGCTTTCTTTAGATGAAATAGCCAGGTATATGGAAAAAGTGATGGCTCTGTCCTACACTGAAAAACCACCATATGAGGAATTGCGAGAAATATTTCTTCAAGGTCTGCAAGACATTGGTCACAAAGATGATGGCATACTAGATTTCGAAGTTTCGTTGAATGGCGATGTTCCAGCAAAGCCTAAGGTCTTCTTAATTCAGATCTGTATTTAATGTATCTTCTCTTCAGTTGAAATAATAGCGAAAGTAGCATTGCTTCTAATATACCCATTTCCAGATGAAAGAGCTGAATGTCTCCACTTGAAGATGCCTATCTCAAGTGAACAGGTGGTCCTTGATTTATGACAATTGTGAGCTGAGTTTCTGTCATTGGGTGATACACTCATAAAGCATGCCATCATGTGACCGCATCGCTTAGCAACACCAATCCCAGCACTCCACATTGCTGCTGTTAACTGAATTCCACCAATTACGTGAGGTCCTACCGCAATCCAAACTCTGAGGCCTTGGGGCTGCTTGTCACACTGCAGTTCAGGGACTTCTTCATGTGCCGCAGCTCTAGGACTGCAAGAAGCCCCTGAGCTGCAGTGTGAAGCCTAGTCCCAATCACAGTCACCTTGCTGCCTTGCATTCTGAGGCCCCTGTTGCTCTGCTCTGCCACTCAAAGTGATCTTTGCCATCTTCTTGCTTCTGCTACTGGCCATCTATTCCCAGCCTGACCCTTTATGAGCCAGCTGCTGGCCACACAAGGCCATCCCATCCTCCCCAAGTCCCGTAAGGAAACCACCAAGAGCAGCTTGGACAACAAAGCCTAATGTGGCCAATGAGAACAAGATGGCAAAAGTCAGCTAGGGCCGCAGAGGCTGCAGAGTGCAGGGACAAAAGAGCAGAGATGGGGGGAGAGAGGCAGGTGGGAGAGTTGGATCAACCCTGTGTAAGCATGGCAGGCTGCCAAGTGCCTGAATTTCGATCATGTGACCATGGGCTCTGCAACAGCCATAACTTTGTGGATCAGTTCTCAGTCCCTGCATTCAGCATTGCTGTAACTTTGAACAAAATGGTCGTAAGTTGAGGACTATTGTTTGTAGGTGTTACAAAGCAAGGAGCACCTTGTGAGCCTAATGGGATTGCAAATGAATAGAATGTCTTTCAGATGAAAATTTGATTTACAAAGGAGCTAACTGGAAACATGAATCCTTTTAAACATTCAAGGAACTTGCACTTTGCTTCCTATTCTTACTTTACGCTTTGGGTTTTTTGATTAGCATGTGAAATAAAAAAAAAAAAATAGAAATGGTTGTCTTAATATAGTTCCAAGGTCTAACTTGATAGATTTTGTGTACTGAGGTTTTCAGTTCTACTGTGTCAATTTAATTGTGCTTTGTAGAAGAAAAACCCTAAAAGCATTTATTTAGTTTATAATTGGAAAAGAGGCTCAATTAATAAAAAATAGAGTAGGATTCTTTAGAGTAAGTTCCGAAATGCATAAAATGTAATTCTCTTTACAATGATGCTGCATTGGTAAAAACCTGCCTTATGTGTCATAAATGCTCCTTTTCAAATGAGGCAGGCTATTACAAAGGTAGGTAGAAAGGATTGATAAGCCTTGTAGCATTTCATTAGAAAGAATTGATTATTTTGATGATTCCAAGGATTTATTGCTTAAATCTGTTGCAATCCCATAAAGACTTGCATAACAATTCTCTGGTTTGTTCACACACTCTTTTCCCCACCTGAACAAAGGTCTCTTCCCTTCTGTTTTTGTAGAAGATCTTGTATAAAGTTTTATATATATGCCGTCATTTTTCAAACTACTTGGTTCTCAAACGATGGCTAGATATGAAGGAAAGGGAAGGAGTATACAAGCTTAAGGATGCTCAGGCTCTTAACTCAGGAGATTGGCTAGATTGCCATATTCCTTAGCTCTCAGACAAGTATAAGATGAACTACCCATCTCCCCCCTCCCAAATGAGTTCCTGTAGAACATTATGTTTTTAACCGGTGGACAGCTGCATACCTGCCAGGGAACAAACTCCAGTAACAACATACTTTTGATTATGCATAGAACTGCACAATACATTTTTCAATTTCAATATTGGCTAGGAATCGATTCCAAGTTGAACCTCAAAACTGCATTCTGTTGGGGGACATATGATGATGCCATATCATAATGGCTAGTAAATTGAGAAATAGTAGAAACAGTCACTGCCCAGCTAATTGAAATTGGTTATAGAGGGAGTTATTCATCTTCTCTATTGTGCATTTTAAGTGATTCTGGTTCTGGGATTTATTAATGAGAGAGCATTCCCTACTAGACTTAAATTTAATTCACTTTCATATGAAATGAATGATGTTACTGTAACATTTACATTTGTTCAGTTAACTTCTGCCAAAAGAGAAATTTCCTTCATTTGCATGCAGTGAAAATATCCATTATTGAGCTTGTAAACTACTCAAGCCATGGAATATGCTTAGTGATGAGCTCATTGATGACATTTGATAACAGCTAGAAAACATTTGAACTGAAACAAATATGAATTAGTAATTCATAGTTCGCTGTGGACTCTGCATCGGACTTGAGTGTTGCCTCTGTCAGAGAACAATACCTGACTTTCCTTGCTATCTAGCTGGCCTGGATCAAGATTAAGAATGTGCCTTTTACTGTATAAGCTGGGAAACTATTTTAGTGTGTGGACAGTATTGAGTAGCCGCTTTAACAGTAAGTCTTTTGAAAAAGCACAGCTCTATTCCAGTTAGACAGGAAGAATGCATTTATATCCTGTATATAAAAGCAATACAATGGTGAAATATTCCTTCTTAATTTTGGTCAGAATGAGAAAAAATGTCTGTGTTTATTCCTGCCTAATGCATCACAAAACTGCTGACATGCTAACCTTGGAGTTTGGGTTGGTGTTAATCAGGCCTATGCACCGGCAAGAAAGATGTACCTAATGCACTCCATCAGTGCCGTTTGCATATGGAAGTTCTCCCAGGGGAGCTGCCCTGTGCCAGCTGAGGGTTACCTGCCCACTGCAGTTATTGTATGTAATTATCGAACCAATCTGTTCAGCCCAGCAGGGTTTAGATGGTAATCATGAAGCAACACTTTGGAAAGATGTAATGCACTCTCCCCTTTTCTCATCGGCTATATAAGCATGTAGCCACTTGAGCTATTTCACTCTGGATATACTTTGATCAAAGTTACCAAAAAAGTGAGTGGAAGTTTAATAGTAATTTTTATGCTGATAGGCTAAGAACATTGAAAAATGTTTTGGCTTCTTAACATAAACATGAGTTTAACATAAGTAAAATGGGGAAAATATATACACAGTTCCAGTTTCTTTTGAAGCATATTGTCCTCTCTGCACCATTTATAAGGGGTCTAACCTGATGCATTTCTGGTTGACAAGCAGTTCTCGCTGTGGAGGATAAAGGAATAACAACAACATTTTACCCAAATAAGCCTGAAAGCTTTTAGAAATCACTTCTACGATAAAAAATGAATCCCAGGAAGAGCCAAAATTTTATTTATTTATATTCTTTTCTAATTGGAATGCTTTCAAACTATTAAAAATCAATATGGAAAGGAGGCTGGCAAGGGTGGCTGCTTGAAATTCAACTTTTGGGGTTCACTGGCTATAGCTTAAACTTTTATCTTAAATAATAAATGAATGTTTCCAATTCGTGTGATTTTTACATGATCTATATTTCTACACTAATTATATGGTAACCGGTATTCTTTTAAAAATAATTTCAAAATAGTACTGGAATATGTATTTTTCATTGTCTTAGCACTATATTTCACTATTCTGAATTTATGAAATATAGCAAATATCTAAATTCTTACAGAAATGTATGAGTTTCTTAGCAGAGACGTGTTTACAATTTGTACAAGACAAGAATCCCTGCAATCACTTAAAATAAAATTTGAATATAAAGGGGGCTGCTTAGGCAGTGCAAGAAGCAAATTTTGTATGCATAAGAAATACTGTTGTATGGAAGGCCCACACTCAATATGCTGTTGTAATTGTACCTGATTACTGTAAACTACACTCTTGTTGCTGAATAGACTAAAATAGGTTCACGCAGGAACCTGTACAAAATAAGATATTAAAAATCATAGCATGATTCCTAAAATAACATGCTTTTTCTGTTAAAAGCTTTTTGAGTTAATTACTCAGAAGATAGGAAACTTTGATAGAGAAATATGGTTAGCAATTTTATGTATGGCGTTATCATTTGTTTAACTTGCCTGTGTGCACTTTTTCTGTTTTGATTTGGACGATAGACAAAAAGAAAATTAGTTGCTGCATCAGGGACAGCTACTGCTGATGAGGACAATGCCGAAATAGCTGTTGATGGTGTGAAAAATACCAAAAAAAGAAAGCCTGCATCACCGAGTAAGTAAAACATTCTTATTAGTATTTGTCACTGATCTATCGCTGTAGAAAAATTCAAAGATGTTTAAATTCCACAATAAACGTTAACTATTTTGTTGGGTAACATGGGAAAAGAAAGATTGTCAGCTATCTGCCAGTAGCAAATGTGAAATATATTTATTGCTCATCATATAAAACTGATGACAGTTAGTTGATGAAAGTTGTTGGCGGTGGCTCCCTACCCCTTTTCCCACCATTTATTTTCCTCTC